ACACACACACACACACACACACACACACACACAAAGTGGCACATGTAAAGGAAAAAGGAGTTGAGCCAACTGGTGACCATAAAACACTGGCCTGTCAAACTGTGTGTGTGTGTGTGTGTGTGTGTGTGTGTGTGTGTGTGTGTGTGTGTGTGTGTGTGTGTGTGTGTGTGTGTGTGTGTGTGTGTGTGTGTGTGTGTGTGTGTCTAAGTAAAACCCTACAGCTACATCAGGCTCCTATGAAGGCATTTCCTGAAACCTCTACACAGCACAAGATATCCTCTTTCACTTCCACCCCCAAACACACAGATCCAGAAACAGAGAAACTGTAGCCCCCTTGCAAACTTCAAAGTAATTTGCTGTAGGATAAAATAAAGCTCTACTTTTCCATTTTTTCAAAGATTTACTGTGTGTTTAAGTAATGAAAGTGTATTATTGTTCTCTGAGAGGGTTTTCATGGGCAGGCAATAGGCAGTTTTTGTTTCTGAAATTATTTTAGTGTGTAAGTGTAAAACCTCAGTGTATGGTTACTACGCCGTTAGCAATAAAGGAACTCTTCGGATGCTAAAGAACCAGGTTCAAATTAATCAGAAAAGTTATTTAAATGTTTATCACCATCCACACACAAACATAGCAAAACCTTCACAAGCAGGTGAGGATTGAATTTATGTTCATTTAAACGTGAAAGTGCCTTGAATAAACTTGAAGTCCACTTGGATAGCGCAAAACTCCGCCAACGCCAAATGGCTGATTTCGCAATGTGAACAAAATTCAAAATCAATTGGTGTATCTGTCAGTTACTTAGATAAGCTCCAAAATGTAATGGGTTCTTCCTTGGCCCACGCTTTACCTATCCACCAAGTTAAATACAAAACTGTCCACAAACAGACAAAGAAGCAAACGGAACAGAAAACATAACCTCATGCTGAAGGTTATTGAGTACACTCATTCAGTTGCACACAACATCAGCCAGAGAGCTTTGAAGTTTTGGCCATAAACCACAACATTTTAAAGATACTAATCAGTTAAACAAAAGACAAAATATTCTCATCGAAAAAGTAAGTGCATGTGTTTGTTTATATGCCCCCCCCCCCCCGCCCACCCAAACACACACTCATTGACGACAGCACTTCTGCTTCTGGGTGGCTGTTCACACTGTGCACACTGTGCACTGGCATCTGCAGCTCTCTTTCTCACCCCCGCTAATCACTTCATTATGGATTTTTATGGTTACCAATAATAGGTGGTACACAGAGCTGTGTTTCTTCAAAACAGGCCTCCAGGATGATATAAACACCCTTGTAAAGTAATATAATGGTTGGATGCCATTATTTCATTCCTCATGCAGAAACATGTTTTATCATTTAAGACACACAGATTCTTTAGACTGATGAACAACAACAACAAAAAGTTATTTTTAAATGTTTTCATCTTTTAAAAATATTTCAAAAGGATTTTCAATAGAAGTTGTCTAGTACTGTGACTTTTTGTGGACTTCAGCTTGATGCTTACCAGACTCTTTGGCTCTAACAATATCTTGTGTTACTAATAGTGATGTCATAAAATTGGAGGATGATATGCTGTTGGGATTTGAGTATATCTGTCACAGAATTATGTATATCCTCCTAATCTTCTACATACTATTTGATTGTTTATCATCCTAGCAGAAAAATACAACTCATCTGTGAATAACAGGATAAATACCTTGATTAATTGCCATCCTAAGAAATACAACGGAATCAGTAGTTTCAGGAACATTTCCGCCATTGCTACTTGCAGCTTCCTTAAAACTGGTCCAATACAGTTCAGTTAAAAGGGAAATCACACCCAATTCTGGCTACGATAGCAATTAAAAACACCAGTGCAATAAACATAGTGCATGTAATAATTTCCAACGAATCATTCAAGTCAGCCGCAGTTGTAATGCTTGGATTTAATTAGAGGAGATATTTTGCCGGGGGTAACATTATAGGAAGGAAAAAACCTACCTATCTGATTTAAGATGCAATGGCCAATTAATGCAAAGGAGATGCACACTGATACACAGAGATGCCTCCCCTTGTAGTTAGACTAAAGATCTAGCTCATCAAGCAACTTGAAATAAAATCAATAACATAATTTGAGCACTTTGGATGCTTTACAACGCTATACCCAGGTTAGGCGACACCAATGATTAGAATACTATACACTCTAAAAAATGCTGGGTTATTTCTATAAACACATTGCTGGGTTGATTTGTCTGGGTCATAATTATGGGTTATTTGGGTACTGTAAACACACTGGTGGGTTATTCATGCTGGGTCAAAGGGGTACTTATTAGGGCTTCAATTGCAGTTGAACACCTGCCTGGGTTATTTTTAACCCAGAGGTTGCTTTATTCATTTTCCCACTTCTGAATCATTCTGGAACCATCTTTTTGTCATTTCTCACAACACAAGGTATGTAACCTATATTTTACCTATATTTATATAATTATACAATTCTGTAACTTGTTGAATCACTAGTAACTAAGTGATTTTGAAAAACCACTACAACCACAACAGTGATTTTGCAAAACCACTAATCAGCCAGTGATTTCACAGAATCACCAGTGTTCTTGCACACTGTGTAAGACCGAACATTACAGGCTTCTGAAAGGAAATGAGTTGTTTTAACTCAAACATTTAAAAAAGTTAATTCACCGCTAATTTTCTGATGACTATGAACTGATTTTTAATATTGTGTATACAGTGTTCAACCACTTAGGGTCATATTGGTAATAGTACTCAAACATTTGTACTGAATCTGTCTGACGCTGGTCTGACGTCATCACGTATGTGCTCCGCCCCCGACGTGCCTAGACGTTCTATCGCCCATGCCTTCACCAGAGTCCGCCATTAGCCCCTTGCCTCTGTTGAAGTCGCTCAGACTTTTAAGAATACTTTGCCCACCGTGCCGGAATCGTGATCCTTTTTTTTGGCCGCACTACTCTGGTGAGTTACGGCTTGCCTTTGCACAGTATTTAAATGATGTGTTATTAATTTCTGCATCTAATGCACTTTGTGTCGCATGGTGTGTTAGTTTGATTTGAGCTCTTGTTAGCTAGCCTACATTTAATATCTCCCTCACTTGAGAAATGATTTAACTTACGTGTAAGACAGTATTTTTATATTGTTTTAAGTTATATCTCAAAGTGGAACGTTTGTGTTGCAAAAGTTTTCTGGAAAAGTCGAACCTAAAATGGCGGCAGGCGGCGCGTTTTCTTTCTTCTTTTTTACCGCATTTCTGGGCATGTTTTATTAATTTAGAGGCATAGAGGATTAATTTGATCCACTACAATGTACCATAACCGTGCGTTCTGCATGTTTGTAAAAGCAAGCTAACTTGAAACACGAGACTATTCATTTTACAAGGTAATTTATACCCCCCAGCGTTTTCAAATACATGTAACTCAGCAAAGGTAATGATCGTGCAGTGATGATACTAATACTTCTAGAATCTGTGGAATCTCAGTTTTAATCTGATATCTTGTATGCGCAGTTACGATAAGTAGCCTATAATAAAGTATTTCTACCGTGAGTTCTGTGCGCTAATTTAGACTAATTTAATAGTGAGACTTGTGTTTTGTTTCGGTAAAAATGGTTCGTATCTTCAGTTAGCTGAGTTTCGTTAAGTGGGTATGACACATTAATAGGTTTTTAAATGTTAAGAAGCCCCTGAGACTTAAGTTTCGTGAACAAGAAGCCCTCGGTACCGGGGGCTGCCGGATTTAACAGATTAATAGTCTAGTGCGGGGGTGCCCAACCAGTCGATCGCGATCGACCGGTCGATCGCGCGGAGATTCCCAGTCGATCGCGAGATGTGTCTAAAAATAGAACAACAATATTCTGTTTTATCGTTAATGTCCTAAAACATAATCTTCCTGTGCCAGAATAATGCACTTGTACGCATCAAAGCTTTGTGATTGGCCGGCGTGACCCCATGTGTCGGGGCGTGGCTGGTGGGCAGTGCAATAGTTCGCTGACGTTGTCCGTGTCAACACCAGGAGTGACAGTCCGCACACACACAAGACCGCAATTATGGCAGAAGCAAAAATATATAATTTTCACTCCGAGTGGGAGGATGATTATTTTTGTATCTATTCCAATTCAAAGTCCATCTGTCTCATCTGCAATGCGAGCGTGGCTTTATCGAAGAAGGGTAATTTAGGAGCGGCATTTCAAAACAGTGCACAAACGCTACGAGACGGAATTCCCTCCTAATTCTGCCCTACGCTCCCAAAAGGGGAGGGGCCTGAGAGCACAGCTAAATGCACAGCAGTCCATTTTCACCAGGCTCAACAACAAGAGCAAGGCTGCTACCATAGCATCTTATCGTGTCAAGTCACGTTCTTGCGAAACACATGAAGTCTTTCAAAGACGGCGAAGTTGTGAAAGAAGCATTCCTGGAGGCTGCCGATGCGTAATGAAAATAACAGTAGCATTTCAACAGGTTTTTGATATGATATAAACTCAAGTTAGATACCGTTTCATTATAATTATTGTACAAAATGGTATAATAATGCAAACTTAAATTGATTATAGTCTATTATCAATTCAGGTTAAGAAACTAGTGTTGCTTGCATCCTATTTTAAAGGCATTTCTTTTTATAATCTACTAAAATGCAACAAAAAAAGGGTTTGATTCTATTAATTTTGTCTTTTATATTGCACTGTTGCAGCAGATTCCTGTGTAGCTTCAGATCTGAGTTGTCTTATTAGTAAGCCTAATTTATACTTTTGTAGCAACACTATTTTTATATAATGGCAAAGAAAGGGTTCAGAGTCTTTTCTTTTTTTCCTGTGTCATATGTGGCAGCACTGTTCAATGTTTCTTGAAAACATTATCCACTGTAGTGTGACGTGTGAATAAACTCTGTATCAACAACACTGTTGTGTAACTTCAGTTAAATACTTGTATGTGTGTAGATTAGAAAGAGGTAAGATAAAGGATCTGCAGTATTTTATGAAGTATTAATTGTACAAAGGTCAGTTTTATACAAGTAGAAGTGTGTATTTACCTGGTAGTAGGCTGTCAGTAATGGCTACGCCTCTCTATTTGGACTGGTAGATCTCGGCAGACTGGCAACTTTAAAAGTAGCTCTCGGTTCAAAAAAGGTTGGGCACCCCTGCCTTAAGGCGAGACACCCCAGGTGAATAGGGTAATTTGTTTAACTTAAAGGTATCAGCTAGAAATTTCTCCAGTTAATTACTTACAATAAGGCAATTGTCTTTTGTATTACAAGTTTCTGAAATAGCATGTTTAAATATGCAAATTATCCATTATCTCATTAAATATGCACATATTTTAACACATATCAGGAATCGAAATCTGAACTTTGGATATAGCCAGATTCAAAATTCTTGTTTCATTTTGTAGTCATATTAGTATCTAAGGCTTTTACAGAAGGGATATTGGATATCTCTTTTTATCACTCCATAAATCAGAAAATACTGTCAACAGCCTTAAAATATCCATTTTCGCCATGTTTTTAGGTATACAATGTTGTATAATTCAGGCTATGAATTATATATGAACAAACCCTTCTGTAAAAGCCTTCATAATATTGATAGGAATAAAACTGGCAGGTTTGGTGTATGTGCGTGCTACTGAAGTTGAAATTTCGAACTCAGAGTAGGAGAAAAAACTCATTTTGAGAAAACAACCTTTAAAGATTGCAGCTAAATCGCCAGCTAAACCCTCTGTTCTTTGGATGACAGCTTGCGCATCGACGCACTCCGTGAAGGTATTTCATGTTCAGGGTCATTTTTTTTTTATAACCTTGCTTCGTGCAAGTGACAATTGTTGTCGTCTTCTCTGTGAACGTTTTTTTCGCCGTTCTTTTGGCATTTTGAGATTTCAATTTCTAGCTGAAAGCTAACCAGGAAGTGTTTTAGCACACCACGTGACGCATCTGAACGAATCACGTTGTCAGAAATTGACACCAGCCAATGAGATTTTGTTTCTTGGTTTAAGACCCCTTTGTGCTTTCACGATTGGTTGCTGATACAAAGGAAATGACCATATTTGGATCCGATGAGATTGTGCAGGAGAGACACAGCTTTCCAGCGATACCTCTGTTGACATGGTGCACACAGCGGTCGCGGTACTTTATGTTACGTTAGAATGCTAACTTTTGGTGAATTTAGGAGAAATCTACAGACGAAAATAGACAAACTATAGTAAAATAAACACTTAAATGTGTATTTTGTACGTTTTCCTTCCAAAAGCCTGAAAGAAAACATGTTATGGAATCAAAATAGCACAAAATCTCAAAATTGACCAGTACTTGAAAAACGATGTTTTTGCCTGCCGTGTCTCGCCTTAAGGAAACTGACGCAACTGGCAGATATAGCTTCTTCAATCTGGTAAGCCTCACAGTGGAGAAACTGTGACAAGCTGGGGGGGGATGCGAGTGGAGCCTCGCAGCGGCGCAACTGTGGTATGGTTACGGCCCCTACACACACGGCGGCGGGCTTGTCTGAAGCTCGACCAACAACCAATTACATGAATATCCCGCCCGGGCACGCGGTTTGATTGGCTAGAGCTTGTACTGGCATATGATTTGATTGTCACAATGCAGTTTGGCAAAGCGTGAAGTCACTCCATTCAAAGTGAATGGAGTGATGTTACGGCCCCTACACATGGCGGCGTGCGTTGACGCTTCTGCCCATTCACTTTGAATGGGGTGACGTCACGCTTAGCCGAACTGCATTGTGGGAGCAAAGCTTTCATGTGATTGGTTGTTGGTCTAGCTTCAGACATGCCCGCAGGCAAGCGTCAACGCACGTCGCTGTCTGTAGGGTGCCTGTGAATATTGTTACGTTTTCCAATGGCTTGGAGATGCAAACTTTGTGCTGCTGTCTTTGATACAAGGGCAGAGTTACTTGAACATTATAACATTATTATTCCCTTGATTTAAAAGTTAATGCAGACTACCTTTGCCCTGCGGCGCAATGAGATCATCAATGATGAGCTGCCTGTTGGAGAGATCCTGGAACGCTGGCCTGCCTTGAAAATGGAGTCACAGGTGAAAATATTTTATTTATTACAACTATATAATTATTTTGTATCCCTTTGACATGTTTACTCAGATTTAGCATGTTATGTTTCGGTTTATCTCTGCTGCCTTCAGTCCACATATACATTGTACTGTGAATTAAATAGTCATTTTATATTTTGGCAGAGTTTCACAGGATAACAAACCTCAACCTGAAGAACCACTTCTATGCGGAGTTGGATAGACATGTCCTCCATCTTCAGAGCCTGTTCAGGAAGAAGGCGGCAAGGAAAGGAAACTGAACTTCTGGATCAGCTATTCGCCTCCTATGACCTCCAGGTGAGTCGGTTATGCCTCTTGGTGTTTTATTCTCATACTAGAGTGGATTATCTTTGTCAAAATGTTAATCTCTTCAGTCATGGAAGAGCCCTTTCTTGTGATATCAATTGTTGTGTGGTTATACTGTTTAGCATCCAAAGTAAAACAAATATATGTTCTCACACTCAAGGAGCAAGGTGACGTCCATGTCCTCCATGCTGCTGTCCTCCGTGCTCTGCCTGCATATCTGCATGAAGATGACTCCACGTTTCCGAGGCTGTGGCATGTAAGTCAGCATAATAACCGTTTTGAATGTATGTGACAGATCATCCACAAATATAGTTTATCTTGTTACATTGTTTCAGGAGCTCTAGCGCAGGTAGACAATTATTTTAATTTTTATAGTGAAAAAATTATAATAAATGATAGATTTAGTTTGAAAAAGTATGAACTGTCCTGGTGTCATTAAAGCTTGATTCTGTCACTCAGGTGTTGTTAATCAAACATTATCTCTTGTTTTCTCACATCCCATTCAGGTTCTACACTGAACAAAAATATAAACGCAACACTTTTGTTTTTGCTCCCATTTTTCATGAGATGAACTCAAAGATCTAAAACATTTTCTATATACACACAAAATAACCATTTCTCTCAAATATTGTTCAAAAATCTGAAAAAATCTGTGATAGTGAGCACTTCTCCTTTGCCGAGATAATCCATCCCACCTCACAGGTGTGGCATATCAAGATGCTGATTAGACAGCATGATTATTGCACAGGTGTGCCTTAGGCTGGCCACAATAAAAGGCCACTCTGAAACGTGCAGTTTTGCTTTATTGGGGGGGTCTGGGGGGGGTCCGAAAACCAGTCAGTATCTGGTGTGAGGGGTAGGATTAGGGTTAAGGGTAGGTTTTTTTTTTTGTTGAAAGCATTTATGTCAACTGATTGGTTATTTTGGAGGCTGACGTTTCTGGTGCTGTAACATTATGTTGTGCAATGCTAATAGGCGTTTCCTTAAACTCACATTATGCACAAAACATACGGTTATTTGATGTGATATGTCACTGATGTATTTTTCAGAAAACACATTTCTGAGAGAGGCAAGGCAATTTGGGAGTTATGGAACTCCCCACACTGGCTGACGCATTCATCCTGCTTTTTGCACTGACCTTTGCCCTGCATCTGAGCTACCCAAAAGACTTGGTATGGAGTCAGATTTGGGTCAATATTCTCGCGCGTAAAACAAGCTACTCACGAGCGGAAAATGTGCTTTTACACGCGCATAAAATAACCCTCGCGCGCAGATTAAACCCCCGCGAGCGGCTCTGCGCCCGCGAGCGGCTCTGCGCTCCCTCGCGAGAGAGACAGCCCTCTTGCTTGCTCGCGGGAGTGTCAGCCTCGCGGAGTCTGTCTACGCGCGCGTGAAAAGTTTCTGGCATTTTGGGGCGGAGCCACTGGACTTTGATTGACAGCTGCCAGGAAACCCGGAGTTGCCAGGTTTGATAAATGCCTGAACTGCCAAGAGCCGAGCAGTGACGGCAGCAAAATCAGTTGGATGAGATTGAATGGTAAAGTTGTCCATAAAAAAACTATTATATTCGTAAAGTGTACAGCTAATATATATATATATATATATCAGGCATGAAAATCACTCACCTTTCGGCGAAATTCGCCGTTTTGAATCCAAAATAGGTCGTTTGTGTGATTCATGTAGATCTGCAATAAAAATATTTTTGGGGTATGGGGGCGTCTGGGACCCGGAGTAATCTGCGGCCGCGAGCTGTTATGTGCCATCATGACACGCATGGTGTTTTTTTAATATATATTATAATGCAGATATTTCTCAAGGCCCTAGCACTGTTTTTATTTATTTAAGAGTTAAATATATTGAATTTGTATTGTGCTAAAATGCATTGTTCTTTTATAGTGGAAATGGAATGTTGGCGATTTGCCAAAGCTGTTCAAATTATCAATAAATGCATTTTTATATATATATATATACGGTGTGTTTGGAGATAATTCATTACACTATTATACATTATTATTATATTCTATTTAGCCCAACAATATAGTTAATTTCAATCACTCTCTTGGGTCAAATAAACAACCCCGCACATGGGTTAAAATGATCCAGCCCAGCATATGGGTTAAGACAACCCAGCGTGTGTTCTGTCCTATAGTGACTCAGCAGCTGGGTTATGATTGGGTTATTTTTTAACCCAGTAGTTTTAAGAGTGTACTGTATGTCTGAGAAGAATTGTAAAATGTATTGTCTCTATATACGTTTTAGAAACAAAGTTACTGGTGTGTTAGTTTGTGTAAAAAAAGTAGCCTGTAGCTGGATGTGTAGCAGAAACAGAACGAAAAGATTATCAGGCAGCAGTAGCAGCTTTGAAAAGAGACAGATTTATGGGACTAAACAGACATGTGTATAAATCAAGACATGGCGTTTAGGATACATTCATACAATTTACAATATGTTGTTCCATTTAATCAGCTTGTTTTTTGGGTGTGGAGTTCCTTTGGAAGCGGAGCTTATGGCTGGTCTAAGTTATGGGAACCAGTCAAAAGGAACACACTCATGCGCACAGACACACACATACATCTCCTTGTGTTGAGTTGGGAAAAGCAGGCCGTTTGCCAAATTGCAGTCAGACAAAATGGCTGCAGCCTTGCTAAATACACTGTGGTCTGTGGTAGCACTCAGTTAGACAAACAAACACAGCCCACAACCACCACCGCATTCAAAGAGTGTGTGTGTGTGTGTGCAAACATAACCAAGTCTTTGCATCCCGTATGTGTTCCCGTACCTTAGTAATTGCACAGTATTAATGCATTAGCGTGTGCCAATGTATTTGTGTGTGCAGAAGTGTAAGTGTGTTCACTTGCACCTATCAAAGCCAAAACTACACTCCGCTGCCAGGATGGAAAGAAAAGAGAAAGAGGAGAGGGGAAATAATAGCTGTTCACAGCTTAAAAAAACAAACTCTTCCAATAAATGTGCCCCCAATCCCCATCTGCCGCCCCCTTTTTCTTGTTCCGAGCTGCTTTTATGGGTGAAATTAGTCGTCCCCAACCCCCTGACAGGGCAATAAAAATCTCTGCCAGGTACATACACTTCTACTAGGCCTTAGAGAGCGGAGAAGAAAGAGGAAAAACAGAGATGGAGGAAAAGAGTAGACCATGGGGGAAGAAAGAATGGAGGAAAAGGAAGAATGGGAATAATATGAGAATAGTGAGAAATAAGCAAATGGTTGGGGTGGGAATAGAAATGTGAGAGTTGAAAATGTAAATGATGCTAAGAAAAGCATGAAGAAACAAAAGTAGGGTAAAATTGGGAGAAAAAGAAGGAGAGTGATTGATCGAGGAACGTTGAAGAAGGAGGCAATACTTTGTGAGGGGAGAAACAGCAGAGAAAATGACTTTTACATCTGTGGCCAAAAGTCCCTCTGGACGTTTTAACACACAGCAACATACGGAAACACACATATGCACACACACTGAGATTCATCCTTGACTCTCTTCTGAGAGTTTTAAAACTGAAAACTTTACATCCTGAATTGAACATAGATTTGAAATTTGCATAGAAAACCTTTTTTCCACATGGAAGGAAACGGAGGGATGTGGAAATACATAAATTCTGAGGGGCTTTTGACAGCAGCCAGGAAACAAGATGACTACTTGCCACTAGTGACCTCATCGGGGTCAAGGATCACACACCCTGAGAAAAGAAGCAATAGGAAAAATCTTTAAAAAGATGGTTGATGGGAGAATATTCTTCTCCCATCAACCATCCCCCTCCATCTTTTTTAGATTGTTCCGTACCCCTGGCTGTTCACTACTTTGACTTACATGACACAATGCTTTTACACAACTTTAATCTGTAAATGTTTATTATTCATACTTCCAAATGTTTCCATTGGCCTAGATTGTGGTAATTACAGTTATCAAGTTGAAACTATATCTGTTCATTGTAGAAATAAGCTAGTTCACATCTTGCCATGTACGCATCTTCATCATAATAACTTGTTCCCTCAAGTTAACATCATGTTCTCCTCCTCCGCCTCCTTTGGGACGTCAGAGCGCATATTTTTCAGAACAGATATGCTCCTACCTAAAATGGAAAAGTATGTTCAAGTCGATAGTTGACCGTTAAGGGAAGAAATACTAAATACTTTTTCCAGATCCAGACACTATCTTCTTAATCCAGCATGAATTATTGGACCCTATTTGCTCATATACTTCACCTCTTTCCACTTCAGACATAAATTGTTTTAATTAGTTCTGGAAATTTCAATCTAAAATTCCTTTTCACCTGTGTTATGTTCCAGTAAAAAGACAAGATGTTTGCAATCAATCGCAGGAAATGCCAGTAGGAGTCAACAGCGCTATAAACCATGTCCATGAAAAATACCTCGTAACACATTCCACCAAGCCTCCTCACTATGTTGTGCATGGGAAAATGGGAAAATGTCAGAAGGGTGTGATGATAAAAGTGTAACTGTAATACTTTGGTCTATAAAGAACTATCCTGTATCAAAAAAGTGATGGGATAAGCACCAGAGGCAGAATACACAACTTCTCTGAAGCAGTTAGTCATAATAACACATTTTGATAAAAGTGTAACCATACAATGAGTTAATAAGAATAACGTGCAAATACAACACAATAGTGTCACACCGTTGCCGCCTAACATCATTATTCTGCAGCTCACAGCCCTGAGAGCTTTATCTCAGTCCCTGTCAGCTTCAGTCAGACAGACAGGGACAAGTGTAATTGTGGCTTGCGGCTTGGCTGTGCATTCAAACGGAAAAGCAGCTTGTCCACATCTCTGTCTGTGTGTCAGCAAGGTCCATTTGTCTTCTAGGCTGTGTGTGAATGTGTGTGTATAGAAGGGCTCAGTGGAAATGAAGATTACGTCTTTTAGCCACTGTCAGTTGTAAATCTGGTAGTGGTGAGAAAAAGATGGGACACATGGACACACACACACACAGAAGTCAAACCACAAATGGGCCGATGGACCTGGTATGGTGAGAATGCTACGGCGGGCGCCCACTGCTGCAGCAAACTTGAATGAGCCATTTGTATAAAGCCCTTTCCCAGCATGCACTCACCCTCACACACACCATATGCTGAATGACATATGACTGTAAACCCACATTGGGTAT